TGCATTTTATATCTTCCACCTGGAGGTACTTTCCCTATGTATCTGCTGGGTTTTTATATAGGTTTGTGCTCACTGAGATAACATTATTTTTTCTCTTACTTTTGAGAGATTTTTTTGTTTGTTTTTGCTTGCTATGTATGTCTGGATTGGCTTTTTTCATTTAACACAATCGAGTAGAGTAGTTTATAATTTTTTAATTTTCTGGCTCCCATTGTTAGTATTAAGAAATCAGCTTTTATTTATTTACCTCTTGTTTCTTTATAGCTATCTGCTTTTTTCCTCCTGTGGCCGATTTAAAAATTTTTATCTGTGGTGGTCTGCAGTTTTTTTATTGTGTGTCCTTATTTCTTTTGCTTTTGATTAATTAGGCCTTTGGGATCTGTGAGTTGATGTATTTTACAAATTCTGAGTCGAGTAACTTAAATGTAATCACTTCTTTCTCCCTTCCCTCTCTTTCTTCCTTTTTTCTTTCTTTCTTCCCTTTTTTTTTAAGCAAGTTCTTGCTATATAGTTCAGACTGGCCTCAAGCTTATGACAATCCTCCCGCCTCAGCTGCTTGAGTGTCAGGATTACAGATGTGTGCCACCACACTGGGCTCTTTTTGTTTCTCTGTGCTCTTTTATGGATAATTTCTTCTTGCCTTTCAGTTTCCAAAGTATCTGTTTTGTTCTTTCTTATTGACTGTTAACCCCATTTAATTCTTAATTTTTCTTACTGCCGCTTAAAAGGTGTTCCTTGCAAGATAGTTTGAAGCTTTTTATTTTTTTAATACTTTTTTTTTTGCTTGTTGTTGTTTTGTGGTACTGGGTCTCATGCCTGTACCACTGAGCTATACTGTATCCCCAGCCTTCTTTTATTATTTTTTTAATGTATAATCATTTTAAAATCTGTATCTGATAATTCTGGTATCCTAAGTGTTTATGCATTTGTTTCTACTGTTTCTCAATTGTTGCTCATGACTGTATTTCTTTTAAGGTTTGTCTTGTATTTTGCCCCTCATAGTCCTTGAAAAATTATTTATAAGGTTTCTTCAAGGTCTAAGATGTGGGTGTTTTTCGAGGGAGAATTTTTCTTTTTCTTTTAGTGCCTAGGTATTTTACCTCTTTGATACTGATTCACTGAAATTGTGGTTCATTCTCATGTCTCTGTCTCTCCCCCTCTCTTGGTTTATTGTGTTTGTTCCCGCCATTGACAGATATTTATTTGGGTTGTCCAACATTTCTCAGGGGAAGGTCTGACCCAGAAACTGCCAAGCAAATTCCTTACAGCTCTTAGGATGTAGAATATTTTTCTTCTGGTTTGCTTTTTCCCTGAGAGTGTAGGCCAACTACATAGGAGGCCCTGCTGGAAGTGGGACTTGTTTCCTATTCCTGTTGAACCTGTACCCAGATTGTGCTTTGGCCTGTAACTACTTGGCACCATGGTGCCCTGGAAATGGAAATTTAGTATCTGCAGGTACTCTTAGGGCGAGATATGATTTTGGTGCTTTTACTTATCTCTTCCCCACCTCCCTTGTACTGGGGTTGGAACTCAGGGTCTTTGCATTGAGCTACATTCCTAGCCCTTTTGGTTTTTAAATTGAGACATGGTCTTTTGCTTAGTCACTAAATTGCCAGGGTGGGCTCAAACTTGGAATCCTCTTGCCTCAGCCTACTAGAGTGCTAGGATCATAACATATCCCTATTTTTCTTATGTTCCTAATTTCTCCCTACTTGATATTTTATCAAGTCTTTGGTCATTTTAATGGCCTTTTAAAATGTTTTCACTGCTTTATGTGGTGGCACCACACCTATAACCTCAGCACTTGGGAGGCTGAAGTAGAAGAATCACCAGGAATTCAAGGCCAGCTTGGGCTACATAGTGAGTTCAAGGCCAGTCTAAACTGCATACTGAGACCTGTCTCAAACAAAGCAAAGTTTTTCCTTTAAATTTATAGTTGCTTTCCAAAGGATGGTTGATTCACACATCCTAGCTTGCCATTTTTCCAGGCATGATTTGAAATCTTTTAGCCCTTGGCAGATATTTATTGAATATATGGCAGAATGATTATAGTTTTAGTATCTTTCCTTCAAAGATTCATTCACCCATATCTTGAGCATAGTTTGGTTAATGGGTATCACAAGTATTCTGGAGTCTGAATTTAAGCTGTTACATTTGGTGAGTAGGAAGTCGATTTTGAAGAGGTATTTATTCCTAGACTCAAGGACTAAATATCTTTGTCAGGATCAATTGGATTTTTTGTTTTGTTTTGTTTTGTTTTTGTTTTTGTTTTTGTTTTTTGAGACAGGGTCTCACTATGTAGTGAGACTGACCTGGAACTCACTGTGTAGCCCAGGCTGGTCTTGAACTCACAGTGATCCTCCTGGCTCAGCCTCCCGAGCGCTGGGATTACAGGTGTGCGTCACCACGCCCAGCTTTGATTATTTTATTTTTATTTTCTACAATGAAAATAAAAGTTAAGGTACTTCTTGATAAAAGGATACATACAGATTATAAAAATTTGAAATTTCAGTTGTAGTGGCACATGTCTATAAATCCCAGCATTCTGGGAGGCTGAGCCAGGAGGATCACAAGGTCAAGCCTACCCATGGCAACATAATGATTTAGTGAGATGCTGTCTCAAAATTTTAGAAAATGAGAAAGGACTGGGGTTGTAGCTCAGTGCGAAGGCCTAGAGTTTAATCCTCAGTACCCCCTCAGCAGTTCATTCATAAGTGGTAAAATAGAAAGTCCCCTGCAGAAGAACTAGTACTGAGGAGTATAGAGGTCAAGTATTTTTAGACCACCTTTTCTGGATATGTACATGGATGTGTGTATAATAGTCGTCTTCATTTGTTGTATTAATTTATTTAACCAATATCTAATCAACGTGTAGTCTATAGTGCTGTAATGAATGTCTTCATACATTCTTGCCTGCTTCATGCATTCTTTCTTTTAGATAAGTTCCTAAATTATTGCAGTCATCGCCTAAATTGCTGAAAGGTGACTAGCAGTTTGAAAGACCCAATTTCTGCATATACAGCCAATACTGAATTATATCATTTATAGTCTTTGGCGGTGAGAAAAATATCATTTTAATTTGTGTTTCTTCACCAGTGATATTAACATCTTTTTATGTTGAATGACTTTTTCAGTTTCATTTTTAATGCTTGTTCGGGTCCTTTGCCTGTTTCTCTGTTGAAATTACTGATGGAGAGGAGCACGTTATTAAATTGCTAACCCTTTGTCATTTATATTGTCAACAACATTTTTGCCTGTTTGTAATCTTGTCTTATAACTTTGTGTTCACTTTTACCAGTGAGAAGAAAATTTGAAGTAGTCAAATTTATCAGTAGTTTTTCTTTATGACTTTATGGGTTTTGTGCTATTCATAGATGTTTCTGTATGGTTTATATTTTTAATGTTATATTTAAAAAGCCCTTTACCACTTAAAGGGTGAAAAAGAATTTATGTTTTCTTACGATTTTTGTATAGCCCTACATTGTAGGACCTCTGTCTTTCCCTTTTTTCCCTAATAGCTTTAAAAATATTCTTCTATCTTTTCAATAAATTCCTGCTAATATTATTGTGCTCTAATCATGAATTATTTGTCCATACTATATGAATCTGCTTCTGAATTCTCTATTTTGTGCCACTGGTCAATATGTCCACTTCTATACTCATAATGTTTTAGTTAATGTAGCTTGTAGTATGTTTTGATTTCTAGTCAAATTTCCTTGATACTCTTTATCAAAAATTATCTGGCTAATTTTCATCATGTTTCCAAGTGAACCTCAAAATAAATTTGTTACATGCTGTAGCAGATTATACTTAATTATTTTAGTGTATGGGGGAGCTATTGATTTTTGTGTGCTTATTTTGTATTTGGCCATCTTACTGAACTTTCTTATTTGTTATAGTAATTTTTCAGTTGATTTGCTTGGGGTTTTTTATAAATGTTTATATCATCCAAAATGACACTTTAATTTGCTGTAACATTTATATTTCATATCTTGTAGGTTAACACATTGGCTAAATACTGTTGAATGTTTATGTTATCCCATCTAGTTTGTAACTTTAATGAGATCTGTAGTGTAACAACATTAATTATATTTTGTATTGGCTTTTGAAAAATTTCATTATTAGATTTGCTAATTATTAACCATTTTTTTACTCCTAGAATAAACCATACATAATTGTGGTGTATTCTTTTAGTATTCCTGTTTGTTTTGCTTGCATTTATTTTAGATTTTTTTGCTTATAAGGTGTAGCATAGTGAGAATAGAATAGAGGGTGCAATAAGCTCTGTGCAAAAGTCACAAGACAGTTGTCTCTTGGTTTTTTGATGATATTGGGAATTGAACCCAGGGCCTGTGCACTGAGCTACATCCCCAGCCCTTTTTTATTTTTTATTTTGAGACAGGATCTTGCCAGGTCCCTAAATTGCCAGGCTGGGCTGGATCTTGTAATCCTCTATTCTGTTTGTTTGGTTGATTTTTTGATTTTTTGTTTTGTTTTTGTTTTTTTTTGAGACAGGGTCTCACTATGTAGTTGAGACCGACCTGGAACTCACTGTGTAGCCCAGGCTGGTCTCGAACTCCCAGCGATCCTTCTGTCTCAGTCTCCCGAGTGCTGGGGTTACAGGTGTGCGCCATCACACCAGGTTGGGGCAGTTGTCTTAATTCTTCATTCACCGACAGCATGGAAATAGGATTGACTGTGTAGGATTGAGAATATTTTGAAGTTGATTAATGAACTCTACAAAGTAACCTGCAAATGCAGTTAGAGAAATACAGAATTGTTAAAATGTTATTGTGTAGAATTTGAGTAAACTATTAACTCAGGTTCCTAGAAGGGTAATAATCCAGGAATAATGTTGTTATGCTCTCTGTAATTGTTTTGAGAGAAAAAAAGTTTTTAACATTCACCTTATATTCTCTAGACTTTAACCTGTTGCATGTTTTGGCAATATCAGACTACCTTTCTCATGTAAATTTTGTGTGTTCATTGATGTTTTCCAGCGGCGAGTAGAGCAGCCCCTCTATGGTTTAGATGGCAGTGCTGTGAAGGAGGCTTCAGAGGAGCAATCTGCTCTACCAACCCTCATGTCAGTGATGCTAGCAAAACCTCGACTTGACACAGAGCAGTTAGCACAAAGGGGAGCTGGCCTCTGCTTCACTTTTGTGTCAGTAAGTACTGAGGCTGAACTTAAATGCTTTTCATTATCCTGGAGTTCTCTAATGAAGTTGGGTTACTTATTTTAGTAGAGTTGGCACTTTTTATTCTCTGTCTTCTAAAAAAGATGCTGTATTACACTTTTACTCATCACTCTTGAGTTAAGCTCTTGAGAGAGTATGCTTTGTCAAAGTCTCAGCACAGAACTGGAAGGAAAGTATAATATTAGATTGACAAATAAAGAGAATACAGATTGAACTCACTATGACCAAAATTTTTATATAATTAAAAATAGCCTCCAGGGCCAGGGATTTAGCTCAGTGATTCAGTCGCCTGCCTTCTCGCAAGCTCAAGGACCTGAGTTCAATCCCTGGTACCAAAAAAAAAAAAGTCTCCAAACCCCTCAATTAAATAAGCTAATTCAGTATAAAGTTAGTAGGTAGTTCAGTATGATTTTAGTAGGTAGGTATTCTACAGAAAGGTTACTAATCATTTTTCCCTGAATGATATGTGGACTGCCTACACACTTGCCTTCTTGGCGCTTTGAGGTGTTGCTATGGTTATTTTGCTAAGATTATTTGGCTATCTGTTTATTCCTTTCAATGTCTTTCTTTCTTTTGTTTCTTTGTTTGTTTTTTGAGACAGGGTCTCACTCTGTAGTTGAGACTGACCTGGAACTCACTATGTAGCCCAGGCTGGTCTCAAACTCACAGCGATCCTCCTGCCTCACCTTCCCAAGTGCTGGGGTTACAGGTGTGCACCACCACGCCCGGCTTTTTTTTTAAAACGGAGATGGGGTGGGCTGGGCATCTAACCCAGAGGTACTTTACAAGTGAGCAACATCTCTAGCCCTTATATTTTTTATTTTGGGAGAGTCACCCTAAGTCTCCCAGCCTGGCCTCAAATTTGAAATCCTACCTCAGCCTTCTGAGTAGCTGGAATTATAGATGTGTACCATTGTGCACAGTATTTGAATATTATACAGTCTTGACTCTGTTGTTTTCTTAACTCCATTTTAATTTGCCAAATTATAATGCATTTTGAATCAAATTTGTTGCTTTTCTTGGTTTCTGTGTCTGTTTTTTTTGCCACGGGTGGAATAAGAAGACATTCACTGCTCGTCATTCATAGTTAAAGTCACCAGTGATTGCATTTCCCCTCATCACTGCATTTTCTCCACTTACAATCTAATAATTTCCTGTGTTTGCCCTGTGGATTATTCCGAGTCATTCACCACTGTACACTGCATTTGAAATAGCAGTGAAAATGGTGGGTGGTATCTTAAGGAAATGAAATAAAAAGAATAAAATCATTAGGAAATCATGTGCGTTATGTGGAATATTTCTCATAGTTATTATAGTTTTATCTCTAGAAAGCAATGGAACTTTTTTAAAAAGTCTACAGAATTGTTTATTCATCAAAGGAATGGGAAAAGTTGTGTATGAAGATAGTATATAATTTTATCCTTGAGTCACAAAGAGAATTGACTGATAGAATATCGTGGCAGGGCCTTGACAGCAGTTGGTGACAATTTTTGTGAAAATGCAGTATTGCTTTAGAGCAGTGATGGCAAACCTTTTAGAAACCAATTGCCCAGACTACAAGCCAAAACCCACTTATTTATCACAAAATGCCAACACTGCGATTAAACCTGAATGCTGAAGTTTTAGTTTAGAAAAAACAACTGTTATGCAGTGCTTTGCTACTGGGGCGACTTGGCTTCTTTGCTAACAGAGAGGGTGCAGTATGCCCGCTGCAGCAAGCATGCCATAGGTTTCCAGCTTAGAGAATGTGTGCGTTTCATTGTTTTTATTACTCACTGATTTTCATTAAACCTGCATCTTAAGAGGGTTATTTCTCCTCCTGTTCTGTCATTGCCTTAGAATTGACCTCCTTTTCACTAGGGGGGAACCCTTTGGTTAGTCTTACTCTATACATATTTACCGAGTGCCCACTATGTGATGGGCATATAGTTAAATACAAAAGAATTTGATCAGTGGGAAATCTGTCCCCTAATGTAAAGTTTCTATAAAAGGTATGTCCTTCAGGCTATCAGAGGAGTTGTAGATACTCTAGGTAGATTGTTCTCACAGAGCAGAGGAGTAGCAGAGTGATCATGTATGAAGCAGGAATGTGAAAACAGTATGAAAACCAGAGGCCAAATTCTTTGATACCAGTCCGTTTTTGTTTTTCTCAGTAGTTCCATCCAGGACATAAGCTAGTAATATAAAAAAATTAGTAGAAGTGAAAACATTGACTCGAATATACAACAAATATTATCAATTAGTAGGTAGAGATAGTTACATAAAAAAGTGGGCAGAGGACAGCTTTATGGGGAAGAGAAAATCAAATGGCTAATAACATGGAAAAATGCTTAATGTGAGCCATAAAGAAACAAAATAAAAGAACTTTTCTGACCTATCATCGGCAAGGATTCATAAATTAGTTAATTTTTAGTATGGGTGATACAGACCTACATAACTTTACATTGACTGAAAATTAATCATTTGGAAAAATTGGTGATGTATCTCAATTGTAAGTTTATAGATGTATAAATTTTGTTCCCATAAAACTACAATGATGTTTGTTTAGTATAATTTATAACTGGAAAATACAGAAGCAGTTTTTCTCCACCTATGTTCCAAAGGATGTGTTTCATGTTGCTAAATCCAGGGTTCAGTTCTCAGAGCTCATCTAACACAGTTCATTAGCCAGAGTTGCTCATTGCCTTCTCCCAGCACACACTCTTCACATGGCTTCCACTCTTACAGTATTTTCTCACTTTCCCATTTCTAAATATTGACATGACCCAGGGCTCAAATCCCTTTATCTATCTTCATTTTCTACTTACTCTTGTCTCTGTTGTTAAAACCTATCAGTACATGTTCAGGGCTTCCACATTTATATCTGTAGTCAGATTTCTGGCCTGAGTTCCAGACTTGTATAGTCAGTTAATTGTAGTCCTCTCCTCTGTCTAACGAGCCTATCAGATTTAACCTGTCCAGTGCTGAACTCCTCATTCAGTTCTCCACGCTCAAAATCCTTTTCTCCCATACCCTCCCCATCCAATTTGTCAACTCTTTCCCTGTCTTTCACACTAAAAAGCCTAGAGTCATTGTCACCTCTTTTCTTTATATTATACCCTAATCCAAAGCCATCAGTAAATCTTTTTTTGTTTTCCCTTCAAGATATGTTCAGAATTCTACTGCTTATTCTTTTAATTTCTACTGCTCCAGTCTAAACCATTGTCTCTCACTGAGATTTTGGCTTCCTTACTGGATTCTTTTCTGCTTCTTTATTGTAACCTGTTCTTAACAGAGCATCATGATAATTGGGGGGGGGTTGAAACAGGATATCGCTGTTTAGTTCAGGCTGGCCTTGAACTCAATATGTAGCCCACTCTGGCCTCAAAAGGTTACCCTGCTGCCTTAGCCTCCTTAATGCTGGGATTATAGATATGTACCATCACGCCCAGCTCCATGTTAATATTGAAATGTAAGTCCAGTCATGCTCTTTGATCTCCTTTTATCACCAGGTTCCAGTCATACTAGACACCTTATTTCTTCAGCCGTGTGTTCACCTCAGTCCCTTTACACTTGCTGTGTGCTTCCTCCGTTCTCTTTGATTTCTGTTTAAATATACCCTATTAAAAGGTCTTCTTCGACTATACTAGATAAAATAGCAGTTCCTCCCTGTCTATCCCACATTTAGCTTTTATGCTCTGCTTTGTTTTTCTCTTTAGTTTTATCACCTACTGATGTGCTGTAATGTTTGTTTTTATCTGACTTCCCTCCACTGGGATGTAAGCTCCATCAGGTCAAGGACTTTGCTTTGTTCTGTATCTCCAGTGTCCAGAATGGGATTTTCTCGCTGTAATTATATGTTTCATGCATTGAAAAATGCATTCCTTTGGTCGGGCATGGTGGTACACCCTGTAATCCCAGCATTCTTGAGGCTGAGGCAAGACGATTGCTAAGAATTTGAGGCCAACCTGGACTACCTAACGAGACCCTGTCTCAAAAAAAATCATTCTTTTGAGGAGGGATTGATTAAATAAATTATAATACATTCATATGATGGAATGCTGTACAACTGACAAAGGAAATAACGATATATGCTAAAAATGAAAGATCTCTAAATATGTATTGATTAAAAATACCAAGTGGAGCTGAATGTGGTAGTGAATGCTGTAGTCCTAGCACTCAGGAAACTGAGGCATGAGGATCAAGAAAGAGTTCAAGGTCAGCCTGTGCTGCATAATGCTACCCTTGTCTCAAAAATGCCCTCCAAAAATGAACAACAGTGGGTGAACTGGTATGGTGGCTCATTCCTGTAATTCCAGCTACTTGAGAGGCAATCAGGAAGATCATAAATTTGATTGTATGCACATTTTAGTTTTCAGTTCTTCATTAAGAACCTTTAATTACACTACTAGTTAAAAGTTTGAAGCCAGCCTGGGCAGTTTAACAATACTGTCTTTTAACGGGGTGGGATGTAAGTAGCTTGGTGATAGAGTGCTTGCTGAGTGTGTGTTAGGTCCTGGTTTTGATCCCATGAAAATGGTTAGAGGGAGCAGCTGGCATAGCTGTTTGTTTGGCATAGTATTAATTTAATTGGGAGGCCGGGGGGGTCGGTGCTGGGAAGAAAAACCCAGGGCTTTATGTATGCTAGGCAAGCACTCTACTTTTGAGTCAGCTACATTCTCAGGCCAAGAGTCTGATCTTTTTCTATGTTTAAAATTACTTAATTTTGTTTTAATGTAGCAAATTTGTTTTTAAATCACAGGCATATAATTTTTAAACTGTGAAAATAGACATTTACTCTATATAGTCCACAAGAAATCGGGAAGAGGGAAATTCCTTGTATTTGTGAGACAGGATCTTGCTGTGTACAGGCTGTGAACAGCTTGTAGTTCAAGCTGGCCTTGCTTACAGTAATCCCCCTGCCTCAGCCCTCAGCCTCCTGAGTGCTAGGATTACAGTTGTATGTCACCATGCCTGGTTGACAGTTCATA